TTTGTACTTTACTGCACACCCATAGTAGTAGTCATAATAAAGACTATTATTCCAGATATACATATAATATACAGTGTACTATTCTATTATCCCAGATATACATATAATATACAGTGTACTATTGTACTGTGGTGTGTCTTACACTTTCTGGTGCTTCTATAATGTATGCCTTTTGTGTAGATAGAATTACACTATTCTAGTCTGGTTTCATATGGTATCTGTTGAAAATACATAGCCCAGGCCTGGCAGGCGGAGTCATGGTTAAAGTGCTGGACTCCCATGAATGACTACGGTTAAAGACCTGGACCTGGTGGCTTGCTTTCTCACTTTCCCTTTCTCTCTCTCTCTCTCTCTCTCTCTCTGGAGAAATAAAAAATAATAATAATAACAAACAAAAATAAATAAATAATTTTAAAAAGAATAATAAAAGAAAAATGCGTACCCAGTGGTGCCGTGGCTCACCACAGACATCTGCCTTTAAGCTCCTCGCTTATTGACCAGTTCACTCAAGGACCTAGACCCAGTCATAGGAACAGTATCTGGCCATTATGTAAGAAGTGCCTGTAATAATAAACACCATCTTCTCAAAATTGTTAAATGTAGCAAAAGAAAAATCTAAAGTTTTTCCCTTTATTTGAGATAGAGTGTGTGTGTGTGTGTGTGTGTGCATGTGAGAATGAGAGAAACAAGTGCCTTCCACAGGGTCTGCTCAAGCCATGATCCCCTTCTTTCAGTTCTTCAGTCCACTGCATCTTGGACACTCGCATGCATGCCCAGAGCGTTTCAAGCTGATCACGCAGGGATTCAAACTGTGGTTGTCAGGCTAGCAGGTGGCATGGTGGTTCAGTGTGCAGGACTCCCCCATGGCCAAGTGCGATTTGAGTCCTGGACCTGGCAGCATGCTTTCTCACTTTCTTTCTCTCTCTTTCTGTCCCTCGCTGGTCAAATTAAAATAAATAAATAAATAAGTTAAATAAAATAATTCTTTAAAAAGAAAATACTGTGGGATCAGGCTTTTCTTGAGAAGTACATTACTACTGCACCAGAGAGCCAAACCCCAAAACAATTTAGAAAGGAATCTGTAAATTACATTCAGAAAATTTGTCTAGAATCAATGCTCTAAGCTTCTACTTTCAGGATGCAGGAAAAAAAAAAAAAAACCAGGGAGCTAACAGATTCTCTAGCATTGCTGCTTAGACTATAAAATTCCAAAACCATTTCAAAAAGCCATTTGTTAGATGTTATAAAGTCAAACATATGTTTATCACATGACTCAGTAGCTCCATTTCTAGGTATTTTCCCAAGAAAAATGAGAATATATGTCCATGCAAAAGCACAAATATTCATAGCAGCTCTATTCATTGTATACCAGACTGGAACAATCTGAGTATTTATCAACATATAATGGCTAAACACAGTGTGGTATGTCCTTTCAGTCAGTGGAATGCTTCCCAGCAATAAAAGGACACAGGACTACCATGTGCGACAATGTGGAAGAGTCTCAAAAGCATTATGCTGAGCAAAAGAAACTAGACACAAAGCACTATATATTACATGTCAATTAACAGTAAATTCCAGAAAGAGCAACATGCTATCTATAGTCATAGAGCGATGAAAAGAAGACAGAAGCTTCTTAGGGCTGGAGGGGGGGTGGTTGGTAGGGGGCAGGCAGTAATTGAATACGAATGGGTGTGAGGGACCTTCCTGGGATGATGAGAAGATCCTATTTCTGGATTGTGGTGGTGATGAGTCGTAACTCATCAGACTGAACACACTTAATACACGCAGATTTAATTCCATGTAAATTATAACCCAAAGCATTTTTTTAATTTTATCTTTATTTTAAATGTCAGTGAGAGCTGATTCCAAGAGACCACAGGCAAGGGCAGAGGACTCAGCTGCTGCAGGGGGTGCTGGCCTGCACTGTCCAGAGGACATAGGGCTGCACTTAAAACAGGGGAAGGGAAGGACGTGTTTCAGCACAGGTGATCTCGTTGCCATGACCTGAGAAGGACAAGGGGACCAGCAGCTGAGCTGTCTCAGAGGATGTGTGCTATGTAGTGGGCATGCTTTTCAGTGCACATATATGAACAATCGTGCAGATCCGAGCTATGAAAGAGGACCTTTCTGGTGCTTGCTGTTGACATAAGCAGAAAATCTGTGAAAAAGCCAATTACGCTGAGAAATCTTCAGAACACAACTGTCTTGAGAGCTAACTCATGGGTCAGGGAGGCATATTTCTTTCCAGGCATTTGGCTAGTCAAAGAGAAAAATGATTCATACAAACATTTAGATGAGATTATGCTATGGAGCAGCTGACATCGTATATCCATACCTGAACCCTGCCTTTCTCCCCTGTTTGTACGTGCTCTCTGGGAATCAGCATGCATCCAGCAACTCGCCGCAGAGAGGGAACACGTAAATGGGCTCTGCTCTTTGCTTACAGAGCTCACCCTGGAGGTGTCAGAGTATAATCACACACTACAGTCTCTTCTGGACACTTCGCTTCATGAACAAACACAGGTGCAGAATTTTAATTTGTAATATTCGTTTTCTAATGTTAAACTGTTCATCTTTTTGGATATGTCTCTGAGAGTATTTCTCATAGCTAAAACCCAAATCGAACTCTGTGAAAAAAAAAAAAAAAGTTAAAAAACGTTGAACACACCATGTGATTTCAAATAAGGTCAGAAAGGTAGACCAGCTCCGGCTGCCGGGAAGTCTGTCTGGGAAAGGGCTTGCCCCGTTATTCAGGAAAGACAGACACACACGAAATGGTGCACTCGTCAGCTACCTCCTTCTGTCTGACCACTCAGGTTTCCCTTTTTTCTCCCACTCAGGGTTTTCACCGCATTTTTAGCAGGTTGTGAAATCAATTTAGTGAGCCATGGTCAACATTGCAAAAAGTAATTAAATCAGATAGAAAAGAGAACAGAAAATATTGAAGAGTGCCACACATAATAAAAGTAAGTATTGCGCCATGAAAAACTTGTTTGGGATGTTTGCATGTGTGTGTTTGTGTGTGTGTTTGTGTGTGTGTGTGTGAGTGTAAAATATATTATGGTGAAAACTGTGTCCTTGTGTGTCATGAATACCATTCTTTCATATCTTTCCCCATTTTCAAAAGGAGCAACAGGCTTTCAAAGACTCCCATTGTCCTGAAGTCCCCTGCTTTCTACTCCTCAACACACACACACACAGGCTCACACAGACCACCTATCTCTGACCCCTGGCATCATTCCTGTCTATGAGTTTGTAAAAATTACATAGGAATAGAAATAAGGATAGAAACAAAGAAAGCTGAAGAAATAACAAAAACTCATTTTATAGTTAAGGAAAAGATACCAAAAGAAGGGAATTTGCCAAGTTGCTGTCACAGCTACTTCTAGATGATGGTTTTATAGACAATTTTTAATTGCGTCTTTTTTCTTGCTCTGTAATGATTTCCACTTTCAGGCAAGAACTCAAGCTCTGCAGTTGGGCAGATCTAGGTTCAATTACAATTCCAAAAACTCACCAGAAACTAAAACTAGAGATACATTTAGAAGACAAATAGGGAGGCAAAGCATTAATGGGACAAAGAAATGTGGTATTATCTGTTGAAGATATTTTATAGTTTTACCAACCGGACTAGGGAGAAATGTTCACATGTTCAAATATTCACTTTGTGCGCTAAATAATGTGATTGAATGTATAAAAGAAAATGTAATTAAAAGTGTAAAAAACATAAATTATAGTTCTAATAAAAAACTGCAGATACAGCCACGCTACACATTGTGTTCTATGATTTTTAAAAATACATATATATATATATTAAGTAGTATTATGTAAAGTTACATTCTCTCTGACAGCTCACGAAACTTTGAGCACTTCCTATTCCCACTGAGATAGTGACTCTTGATTCTCTTGGGCTACTTAGGATGAGACAACTTTTTCATCTTCCCTTCTCTGATAACCTAATTTTCCAATGCAACTGAAAAAAGAGATTGTGGAATATCATATTGAATTAAAATACATAGTGGCAACATTTCCATGGTTTTAGACTCTGGTGAATTATTTGAGCTGTCTAATATTAAGCTTTAGGGTTAATGTCTATCATTCCTTCCACCCAAACCCAAAGACTCTTTAATAATAGCAAGCATATGTAAGTGGAGAGTCCTTGCCTTTTTTCCTGTAATATATTTTCTGTGAATTAATAACCTTCATAAACATTTTCTGCTTTCCAGATAATAGGTAGTGATGTCATCATAAACTGTAAAAAATCCTTATGGTCATCAGACATCTATCAGGACAGCAATGAGTCCCAGACCAGGCCCTAGCCCCATCACTGCCACTGCCTCACTGAGTGACTTTGAGAATGTCACATCAACTCTCTAAGTCTCATTTTCCTCATCTGTAAAATAGATGATTTTGATTAGCTTATCTCTAAGCTTTGTTCTAGTTTTAAATTTTTATTATTCTATTCTTTGGCTAATGATCCCATTAACCATATATAACGTGGTGCATCAATAACACTAATAGAATTCTTTAAGACCCATGACTGTTTCAAATGTTTCCATCATCATTCAAATCTATTTTTACAGCAGGAGTAGCTCTGTGGTTTGTTTTGAGAGCCCCCATCTAAATTAGGGTCCCAGGAGCAGAGACAATCATCCCTGCCCTAATGGGAAATAAAGGGGAGCTGGACACCATCATTTCTTTCCCAGCTCCTAGGATACTTCTTTAACTGGCCAAGGGCCTAATTGCCCAGTTATTAACCTGTGACCAGAGGGAATCCTCACTCAGAAAACTCTATTACATTGGCAAACACCCTCCTGGCTCGTCTGACCTGTGTCCAGTTTATGCCTGCCTGACCATTGCTCTAGCACTAGTACCCTGGCCCTGGGTTCTACCTGGCATCCCGGAAAAACCTACCCTGGGGAGCCCCTGGCTTTTCAGATGGTAGGTGCAAATTTGATACACCATTACAACAGAAGATATGTTGAAATATTTTTACTTACAGATCCTGGGCAAAGAGAGTGTGAGTCCAGAAGGCAGTCCTCTGTCCACAGGTCATGGAATGCAGGAATAAAAAGCTGGGTAGACAAAGAGAGAGTGACAACTAGCAGTATGCATAGGGATTGGGTGTGGGTCACTTTAAGTTCACGGACAAATGTCTCAAGGGTCCTCTAAAGGAAGCAGCAGGAAATCTGGGAGCCCAGTTTGCTTAGCGAGAAGATGCCTCCACATTTTTATCTCTGGCCCCAGCTCACGCTGTTTGGGTGTGGTGTAGAAACCATGTCAGGGTGACCAAGCCCTGCTTCTGGTACAAGAAAGTTAAAGTTATGTTCAAAATGGATGCTGAGGCAACATCACATTGTAAGAATTCGCTACACCAAACATCATGAGTTAGGATGAGAAAGAGTAGGGCAGGATGAGAGGGGTGGAATGAGATTATTTTATAGCCAACTATGTTGGTGTAAAGCAAATAAAAACAGGAACTCCCATCCCATAAAATAACGAATCGGGGTTGCTAAGAATGTCATTATACTGCAAGTAGGATTAGTGTCAATTCCAACAAGTTTCCCTAGAATAACTAATTCCAAACACATGATCCTGCTAGGCAGATTTCCACCTGACAGGTTTCACTCATGAGTCCATTTTCATTTATTCTGTAGAACTTTCCAAAGGATATTATCATCATTGACCCTCATCGCTGCCCGCCCTTCCACCAACCCTCCTTTGACTATAATGTCAATGTAAAATAAATGAACTCTAAGAATGACAACCTTATTTTCTGAGCCAAAAATCAAAGCGTATAAGATTGTTCAGAATTTGAACCTACCCAGTGGCTAGAAATTGTACTGTAAAATACTTTTTTAATTTCATTTTCTTTTATACACTCAATCACACTATTTAGCTTACAAAGTAAAATATTTTAATTCACAGCACAAATTGCTTATGACAAGATATTTGAAATCAGAATGGTCACTGTATTTCTAATGTTCAAACCAATGCCAAAACCCTGTGATAATGTGATTCTTTTTTTTTCTTTTTTTAAGAGATTTTGCTATAGGGCACTAGTGCTCACAAGAGAGACAGAGAAACAGAAAGTGAGAAATCACGCTCTAGGGGAATGGTCATGCCACAATCCCCTCTCCTCTGTTCTCTTCTCAGGATTTGGGCATACATGCACACACTCCTGGTGTGAGTTTCAAGCTGCCACATGCAGGATTTGAACCACAGTTGCCCATCTTAACCACTGTACCACCTGCTGGCCCCAATAACATGATTCTAACAGTACTACAATCAGACTCACAACTAGCCACCTTCTACTGAACCCTCACCCTTACCAGCCACTCGGCTGTGCACCTTACATATACAACTTCTCGAGAGTTCTCATAACCACCTAGGAGGTAGTACTCTTGTGAATACCATTTTACAAATGAGAAAACTGAGGCACAGAGGTGTTAAACATAATGTCCCAAATTACACTGTTAGAAATAAACATAGCTAGAATGTACACATAGGTATGTCTTGCTGTTGTATGCTAAGTTTTAAGCCCTAGGATAGAAAGTTGTCCTAAGTCTGGAGGGACCTGAGAGATCATCTATACCAGTTCAGCTCTCTAAGACATTAAGGCATGTGTCTACACTCACCTGTCTAGTTAGTGTAGACTAGGACCAGGCCTGCAGAGTCTCCACCAGATACATCACAACAAATAAGAGCCCAGGTTTATTTAATCATCAGAATGGCCCAGGCACTGAGCTCTGCACACCTGAACTGCATGACCTCACTAGTTCCATCAACAATTCCAGGCAATATTTTCATTTCTATGTCATGAAAGGAGAAAACTGAAGTACAATAAGGTTATACAGAGTCACACAGTAAGCCAGAATTCAAATCTTGCTTGTCAGCCTGCAGAGCTCATGCTTATGAATACCACCTGTTGAGGCCCAGGTAAGAAAATTGGCCCCATGTGGGAGTTTCGAAGGTTCCTCAGCTCCTAGGGCCTGCACACCACATCCCCAGTTTGGTCTTGGCATTGGCCTGGCTTTTTCATGGTCTGAGCTCACTCTCTTTCTGTGGTTTGGCCCTGATCTCAGACTATCCTCTGAGCCAGTTCCTGAGCGACGGTCCAGAATCCCTTCCACTTAAGCAATTCCTGAAACTACCTTGACGTAAATCCAGCAAAGAGTGCAATAATCATCCCCCAATTTCCCAATGCGTTTTAATCTTAGAAAATACTCCCTGAGAGTTATGCAAACGATATGATACTCTTAGGACTCTTAGTACTCATCACCAGATTGTCTCCAACAGCATTGTGAAAATACAGTCAACAACGAAGCGTGAACATATCATATCATCATTAGTATTGGGTATTTCTATTAGATGCTTACCAGTTTGAAAAACTAATAAAAGCTTCAGCATTTTAGTCTGCCTTTTTTAGCTATAAGTGACATTGAATAGTTTTGTTATTAAAGCAGTTGTTTTTCCTTTCATAAGTCATTTGTATGTACCTTTCGATGTAATTATCTGCCTCATATACACTTTGAAATTTATTAGCATCTGTTGTATATATTGAATCCTTAACCTTTCATGTGCCTGCCAGAAAGAGACAGACACATAGAGAGGAAGAGGAGAAAACACCACTCCCTGGGGCAGGGTCATGTCATGATCCCTTCTCCTCTATTTCTATTTCTCCTTCCCTTCAGGATTCTGGGCAGGCACGCACATGACCCGGACATGTTTCTCAAGCCACCAGTCCACGACTTAGACTGTCCCATTGGTTCTATAGTTCCAGCTGCCTTACCCACCAGATCATGGAGCTGGTTCAATTCTACTTTGTTATCAACTTTCTCCATGTTTTTATTTTATTTTCCAGAATAACTTTTAGAAGGAATATGCCACATTTTTTAATGTTTATTGTGTTTTTCTCCTTTTATTTCAAACAGTTTAAGTGACATGAATTTTGTTGTTGTATTATTTGAATCATAGTTTCCATACTAAAATTATTTCATAGTTATTCTAATTTTATTAATATAGAATAATTTAACTTATGATATTTGTTAGTTTATGGTTAATGATATTATATTGACTTAATAATAGATTTGTTAGTTGTTGATTTATGATATTATACTGATTTCTCTCTCTTATTGTTTACAATTCACAGATTTTCTTTGTTAGTATTTAAAAATTTGTTTTTGTCTTTCCTAATTCTGGTATCTATTTTCTTTTCATTAACTTGTTAATGCACAAATACCACTGTAGAGTTAAATTTTTTTGACTCTTTAATCTCTGTTTTAGCTTGTCTTCTTCATATTTAATTTTTATTGAATAATTTATTATATATATTTGTCTAATTTATTTTTATCTTCTTGGTTTTTAAAAGTATATATATATTTTTTTGAGAGGTTATTGCTATAGGGTGCATGCGCTCACCAGAAAGACAGAGAGAGACAGAAAGACAGAGAGACAGAAAACGAGAAATCACTTCCCAGGGGGGATGGCCATGCCGCAATCCTTTCTCCTCCATTCTCCTCTCAGGACCTTGGGCACACACGCACACACGCCTGGCTTGAGTTTAAGCCACCAGGTCCAGGACTCGAACTGTGGTCGATTACATGGGAGTCCAGCGACATAGTCATTATGCCAACTGCTGGTCCCAAAAGTATAGATATATTGTTTTTTAATTGTACTTGTAATTTCATGAAAGTGTTTGGGTACATTTTCAACTTATATTTGTCTCATTTTCTAAAAACGATTATTTTTATTCCATTCGCGGTAGATAAGAAATTTAATATTTAGGGCTACTTTTTTTGTCCTAATATTACTTGGACAGTAAAATATTACTTAGGGGAGAAAAAATAATTAGCACTCAAAAGTGTGGAAACATAAAAGTCAAGAGTGCTTACCAGATATTAATGCATATAATAAAGCATCATTGCATTGACTCTTCTACAGACAAAGCAATAATAGAACAATACAAGCCCAGAAACAGACCCAAATGTATATTGAACATTATTGTATAATGAAGATAACCTCTCACACACATCAGAAACAAGGAAAATTTTAAAAACTGGTACTGAGATCATTGAATAGCCACATGGGGAGAAAAGAAGACAAATCTTAATTTTTTTCTTTGTACATTGAGAAAAATTATAAGTGCATGAGTGAGTTAGATGTATATAATATAAAATCCATGTAAATATAGAAGAAAATGTTTGTGAATTCCACAATAGAAAATTTTTTCTACAATTCAAAAATCAGAAAATAAAAGGAAATTTGGATCAATTTAATTCCACAGAAAACATATTTGAAAATTAAACATGGAAAAATGTTAGTATCCCTAACATATGAAAAACTTATAAAAATAGACAAATAATCAATAACCAAAAATGAGTAAAATAGGCAAACTATTTACAGAAAAAGAAATACAATGGCCCTTATTTTGGAAAACAGTACTAGATTTTACTTACAGTAGGAAAAAGATCAAATTAAAATGGCTTAATGATATTACAGCTCACCTACTAGATTGGCAAAAATAGAACACATATCTAGCATGTATTTTATTGTTGAAGTTATGGAAAAGCTATTATTTTTATGCTTACTGCTGGGAGTACAAATAGCACAATCTTTGTGAATAGGTATTTAGCAACATCTACCAAAATGGTATGTCCATAAACCCATTGAGCCAAGAGTGCTATTCTGGGATTCTATCTTAAAGATATGCTGGTGGGACCAGCAGTTGGCATAATGGCTATGACGCTAGACTTCCATGTAGTCGACTGCAGTTCGAGTCCCGGATTCAGTGCCTTAAACTCACGCCAGGCGCGTGTGCGTGTGTGCCGAAGATCCTAAGAGGAGAATGGAGGAGAAGGGATTGCGGTGTGGCTATTCCCCCTGTGGGGTGATTTCTTGCTTTCTATCTCTCTGTCTTCCTGACGAGCACATGCACCTTATAGCAAAAACCTCTCCAAAAAAAAAAAGAGATATGCTGGCAAAGTATGAAAAGAAATATGCATAAGTTATTTATGACAGTACTTTGGTAACAGAAAAAGAGAGGAGGCAATCCAAATGTTCATTAATATTGGGA